ATAATTCCTACTGGATGCTGAAGTTCCCTCGGCTGGAGGGTAAGCAACAGTTCAGGATGAGAAGGGAAGGATGGCACATATAATCAAACATGCAGTGTGGTTAGGCAGACAAGGGATCAAGTTGAAGCAAAACAGAAAGGAAAACTTCAGGGTTTACCAGGACCTGAAAATTGGTGGTTGTGAAGTAAGGTACTCCAAGCCTGCTAAGGGGACTTTGTGACTGCTCAAGGATGCTTACTTGGACCTTCATAGGACCTGAAGCTTCTTCTCATGCTCCAGAATGTTCTGTCTGATGCGGCAGGCATGCTGGGGCTATGCACAGAATGTGTGGAAGGCGTTGCAGAAGACAAACATGGCTTTATGCCTACAAAGCTGGATATTTATAAGCACTGTAGCAAATGTTTGGGGGCTTTTTTTATTGTTTGCATTTGTAGATGTTTTTGTTTTACTTCTGCTTTTTTTCTGGTGGGAGTTGCTAGTCTCATCCATTATACAGAACATTTGGCTTGGAAATGTTTGCATTGGGCTAAACATCATCACCTACTTTGATGTGAGCTAAACTTGCAGCTAAGAGTTTTGTGGCCATGGACAGTTCTGTGGTAATAAAAGTACTGCAGTTTCCTGCTGAAATGTACCTGTTCAGGAAATAGCTTAAGACTTGTTGGGTCTCCAAGTGGGAAGGTGACTATCTTCTTTGGAAATGAGGTCATGAATCTTTGAATTGTATCCTAGCTCCCTATTTTGGCTTCAAAGATTGTTTGTGTTTGACTGAAGGAGTCTTGAGAGTACGGGTGCCAATCAAAGCTGTTTACAGGATTATGGTGGGCTTTTTGACTGCAGAGGTTTGCTCCTTTTTCTCTGTACCTTCTACAAAAGAAGAGTTTGAGGTGCATAGTAAGTCTCTTTTTAAAGAGCTAAGAAAAAAAGTTTGGGTATTCAGGTGCTTTTTGCATATGGTCTAAGAACTAGATGTTATGTCAGCTCTTTTGGTTGTTCTGGAGATGTGTTTAGCTGTTAATGTTTAGAGGACGGGCTTTGCAGACAGGGCACTCAGAAGAACTTTGACTTTGTAGATTTGAGTAAATTGTAGTCTGAATTGTTTGGTGCCATCATGTGCATATGGCTAAAACTGAGCACCAGGGGGTGGATGCACAGAGCTAAGCAGTGGTTAAACAGTGGCTTTGAGTGTTATGCCATAGTACTTGGGTGTGTGTCTGTGTGGATGTAGATAGGAAAATCAGTACTAGAAAGGAGCTATGAAAACGCCTTTAGACTTGTATTTTCATCACTTAAGTGTATGAAATAGGGCAGAAATCTTACAGAAAGATGGTTTAGACCTTGATGCTTTCAAAGTGTACGACCATGCAGAACAGACAGGAGGGTAATGTTGGCTTGCTTAACCTAAGAGTAAAATGTCAGTGCTTGGTTTAACCTCAGTGTTGGATTTTTTGTTCATTTTAATGCACTTAACAGCAGGCGCATGTGATACAACAGAAGGGAGAGGAATATTGTTGCACAGATACTCTAACCTAGTCTTATTCCCTAGCTTCTTCATATTTAAAATAGATCTTGAGCAAACTTCACAAACCTTGAGGCTGAAGTGAAGGAAAATTAATCTGTCAGTAGTAGATATTTCATAGTAAAGCATCTTTATAGTACACACACAAATACATAGCCCACACTGCTGTCAGGGCCTTGCTAAATTGGTGAGAAAGGCTGAGTTAGTTGGTACTCAGCCTTCAAGTGACTGAGCACAAATGTGGTAGCTGAGTAGGCAGCCTGCAACGACACTGTCCCAGTAAAAGCACAGTGTAAAATGTAAAGCCTCTTTGCCTAGTCAGCAATTCAGAACACTCTGAGATAGAAGCTCTTTAAAGAAGCTCAACAACTGTATTTCTAGGTGATGCATTAATGAAGATATCAAGCTGATTGCTCAAGCAAGAATATCCAGTAATTAGTGGTTATGTCTGTAGTATGAGCCTCATGAAGCAGATAACCACTTTGGAGCACTGCCTGCCATTCAGGCTGCTGGTGGCAAATGGTTCTGGAAGATCTCAGAAATAGTTTCAGAACTGGATCAGTGTTACCATAAAACCCTGCAAGAGCAGAGTGTCAGTAAAGAAGTCCTTGAGACATAAAAGCAATTCATCTAGACTTAATGCAGAAAGGGCGCTGACGTCCTGCCGAGCTCAGGGAGTGAACAGCAGTAGCTGGGGTGTATTAACCTGCAGCTGGAGTGAGGAGATGGTGTTTCTGGCACAGAATCACAGAAGCCAGTTATGCCAATTGATTTTCTACCACAACTAAACAGGAATCATAATACGGTGGGAAGGAGGCTCAGGAGTATTTTCTGCCTTTACTTATTTCATACTGTTTAGACTCCTATTTCCTTCACGCTCACAGTAAAATATACATATATATGTGAAATTGTGGCTGCAGTGTTTTTAAAACATCATTCTTGTAATGTTGTCTTTTCTCCCATTAATCTTCTATGCTTGTTTTCATTATATCTTGCCTTAAAGGTACAGCAGAACTACAAGAAAAGCACAGCCATTTCATTCTGATCGAGTTTAGTTCATGCCCAATGCCTCATAAATTCTAGGAAGCATAATTAGTGGATAATGACAGTTGATTTGTGAGCTCAAAAGGATCCATCAGTACTTAGAGGAAAAAGTTAGCACGTGGAGGGCATGTCTCAGCCACACAGCTATCAAAAAACTGATGGTGCGGACTTTTTTATGGAAGTAATTTGTTACAATTTGGATTATTAGAGCTAGAAATGGGACTAAACAATCATTGGTGAGCGGAATTCCCAATTGGAAGAAATATCTTACGGAAAAGACACAAGAAGCATTACAATATGATTTTATTACTAGTTAGATTATTTTCTCTATTTAGGCATGAACACAGTCCATCTGTGCATGAAACCCCAATGCTGAAGCCACAAAACACTGATCTTTGCAGGAACGTTGGGTTTTGACTTCAAAAAGAGCTCAGGATTATTCTGCGCAATCTATCCTGGAGAATGGAGCTGCTGTAAATGCACAGCTACGCTGCAAGAGTTGGATCTTTGCAGGAGAGGCCTCCTGGATCTGTCTGGTGAACACAGTGCGTCAGAGTGCATTATCTAATTGTTCACTGAGCGATTCTCATGGCCTAGCCTGCTGAATATTGCAAAGTATATGATACCGCAGGGACTTCAGTAAATCACTTAGTATTGTGAGAAGGCCCTTTCCTGTGAAAAGGAAATGGCAGGAAGAGAGTGATGCACAGAACAATGGGAGTAGGAGATCTGCCAATGTCAAAAGCTTTTTGCAGGCGTGATCAGGAGAGAGCCAAACTTGCCGCTCATGCGGAAGATGTGGAATGGCTGAGTTAGGTGAGTCTTTAGCTGTAGGGAAGGAACAGAAGATGAGGTGCTTAGAGGTGGGAAGGCAATCACTGTGCTTAATTCCACTGAGTTCCTTTCTCAGGAGTGAAAGGGGGAGAAAAAGGTTGATCGCAGCCATGAGGAGGTTCATGTCTGTCTCAGCTATCAGAAGACTTTGGACAAAGTGCCGCATCTTTGTGGGAGAGGTGAGCCTATCGGCAGCACAGCTGAGGCCCGTTGGCAGTGGTTTGTCAGCAGACACAGCTCTCTTCTTTTTGCAAATTCTAACAATAAAGATTGTGCCTCTCGATCGCTGTGCCTTTGCTGCTACAGTTAGAGCAGTGTGCATATCCTCCTCCTTCTTGAGGAAAGACTCTCCCTGCTGTGCTGATTGATTGAAGCTCACTGCACACCAAGAAAGATTTAACGCTGTCTTGAGGGCGTCTCTTTGTAAGTTTAACTTGACAGCCCTAAAGCGCGTTTCAGAGTTTGAATTTGGGGCAGGAGGGAGAGCACAACACAAGGAAGCCTCCGTTATGTCTGGATGCAGCAGTGTTGTGACAATACAAAAGAACTGCTTTAATTAAAATTGTCTGAAGACAGGAAATCTTTCTTTTTGAGCATAACCCAAATAAATGGTATTTTGCTGCTCTTTACAGCACTTAGTAGTGTGGTGGCAGTTGCTATTGCAGAAATATCTACTGCAATGTATCGCACTGTTTGTTTCCACAGTCCCCTCCCTGAAGTCCCCCTGCAGGAGGTGCAAGTTCAGTACCCATGGGTTATATTCTTCTGTTGTTCCTTTGAAGTCTAAATCGTTGTATTTAAAAACTTGGTGGAACCGCACAACCACGCTTCAGGTAGTGGAGGCACTGTTGTCTGAGGGAATCCTGGTCCATGCTCTTTAAGAGGGAAAAGAAATCACTTTGAGAATCCCGTGTTCTAAAGGAATTATGGTTTTTATTATCCTTAAAAATGTATCTTTTTTTACAAACACAAGACAATACTGGCAGACTTCCTTTTTATGTATGTTAAAATGCTTTTATAAATAAGGCTTTCAACTCAGGAAAGCCATTTCTGTCAAAACATAAACTTTTTGTTGAACTATTAAACCTCAAAGAGTAAGAACTGAGACCACCTGGAAAAGTACTGATAGTCAGCCTCCTTTTGCTGTTGGTAACTTGTCTGGGTAACAGTGGCAAGGAAAAAAAATGACCAAAATACAAATTAACAACACAGAAAACTGTAATTATTCAGACACCTTCATTCAGGTGTTCAACAATGGAAATAACTTCAGAATTTACTGCATTCCAGTTGTAGCTATTCAAACAGCATGATCCAAAAGATGAGAAATTCTGTTATAAAAGGGATGTTTTGATATACATTATATGAATCACGTTTGTAGTGGTTTGTTGGTTCCAACCAGAATCAAATAAAAGAAAAATCCCAAACGTGGTGGCCGTGGTTCTCCTGCAGTGCAGAGCTGTTTGCTGTGTCCCAGCCGAGGTGTGTGGCTTAATCACCAGCATTGCTTTGGAAACGTAAACTGTTCTGCAAGAGTTTTCAAGTATGAATCATAAAGGAAAGCTATGCTCATGTCAAGCTAAGTAACCTTTGTTCTGTGCCACAGGAATCATGTATCGCAAATCCTGCGCGTCTTCAGCAGCGTGTCTGATAGCTTCTGCTGGATACCAATCTTTTTGCTCTCCAGGGAAAGTGAACTCTGTGTGCATCAGCTGCTGCAACACTCCGCTCTGCAATGGACCCCGGCCGAAGAAGAGGGGGAATTCTGGTGTGAACCTGAGGGCACGCGTGATAACCACCGCTCTGCTCCTTAAATTATCTCTCTTGTTTTTGTATTGCTAAACTTCGAGCAAGTTTCTTGTCCTGACGTAATTTATTCTATCTCCTCCTTTCTTCAAAGACACTGCAATTATTTTTATTTGTTTTTAAGTCCCTATCAACAGCGAGGGAAGTTCAGCAGCTGTGGGGAAAGAGGCTGATACTTCTGGCAGCTAATGCAGAAACCGGAACACAGGAAGTTCCATCCTAATGCAAGGAAGAACTTTACTCTGGAGCACTGGAACAGGCTGCCTGGAGAGGTTGTGGAGTCTCCTCTAGAGATATTCAAGACCCACTTGGATGCTTTCCTGTGTGACCTGCTGTAGGGAGCCTGACTGAGCAGGGGGGTTGGCCTCAATGTCTCTAGAGGTCCCTTCCAACCCCTAATATTTTCTGTGATTGTGTGATTCTGTGAATTCTGTTAGCAGGTTGAGATTTTTTAAGTGCACACTGGAAATTCAACAGCAGGATATGGAACTCCTGTTCTTTTTGCATAACTGGAACCAAATCCATTGTATTATTAAGATGTAGTCAAGTCCTTGGCCACTTCAGTTCACGTGTTTTGATGTTCATTGCTGCCCACTGCCTTATGAAGTCATACTTCATGTTCACAAAGGCCATTCTGTGCATCTGGGCCAGGCTTTGAGCTCGTCTCTAGTGGCACTACTTCCAAGCTGTGCTCCTGCAATTCAAGATCTGGCTTCTGCAGACTGCAGTCGGGGTTGGCCTCATTCTGAGAAGTACCTAAACCTTTGCTATTGCTCCTTGTGGAAGAGCTGCGCTTGGAGGAAATGAAGAGCAGTGGGCGTAGAGACCGGCTGCTCCTTGCTCTGGAGCTCAGGTTGGCTCTGAGGAACTTCTCTTTGTTGGCGTGCTCTATTGTCAGGTGGCAGCGGAGGACCTGCAGAAACACACTGCGGAACTGCTGAGAAGAGATGTTGTACAGCAGGGGATTCACCACGGAACTGAGATAGAAGAAAATATCAGCGATGGGAAGGAGAATGATGTATGCCCTGAAGTAGGGGACGGTCCAGTCCTGCTTTGGTTTAGCAGCAGCCATGATCCTTCTAATCTGGTTCGGCATCCAGCATATTGCCAAGGTTGCAACGATCAGTCCTATGAGCAAAAAGAGGGAGAAGTGTGAATACTTGGGTGGGGGGGAAGCATATGGTATGAAGTATCAGTTCTGCACTTACTTGTTAGGAAATAATACCAATTTTTCACTGTTTTGCTTAACAGCTTTTTCTGCCAGCAGCATTTTTTGTTTGTTTGGGTAACTTACAAGGTCATTGCAGCGTATAAAATGCTACGACAAAAGACTGCACAGTGCTTGGATAGTGGTCCTTTGTACCTGTTTTCATTTATTTATTTTCCATGTTCTTTCATCAATACCTGTATCTTTGGAAAGAATGGATATTTGGTTTGCTCTGCATTCCTACATTTCTTATGTTTTTCCCTTTGCTTTGGAAAAGCAAACAAAATAAATAGAACCGATAGCCATATAAGATCAGGCAATACCCAGAAGAGATCAGATTCTTGTTTGTACTTGACAAAAAAAAAAAAAAACAATGCATAAAAATATATTTGGTGTTATTTTTGGTAAATTTCCTCTTACAGAAGATATTTTTAAGTATGTATGGATCTTTTTATGGTAATTAAGATATGTTGGACTTTCTTAAGAATGGAATTCCAGTGGAATTAAATTATGAATGTAAATGAGAAAAACCCAAGCCTGGTCACAGAAATGTAAGTGGTTTCAGATCATAAATTCTGCTCCAAAACGCAGTATCTGACCATTCTGTATTTATATGTGAATATAAAGACACATTGCTGCATCACTAATGGCATTAAAAAGGGAGTGACTTCAGTGTTGAGAGCTCCATCTCCACAGCCAGGAGGGCTGCAGTGCTATGGCAGAGATGGCACCATTGGCCCTGGAGGGACAGGTGAGTGCTGTGAGCAGGAGGCTGAGCAGGGGCGATGCTGCGGTGCTGCTGACACGGGCACATGCTGGGCATCCCACTCTTCACTTAAAATGCAAGGGAGACAAAATGATTTCTCCTCAACACTTCCCCCTGAAGCTTCTGAAACAAAACATGATCACAAGTTTACTGCTTCCACTTTGTTTTTCTCTTTGCAGGAAACGTGCCTTATCTGAGTGCTTAAGAAGGAGTGGAAGCTGCAGGTTGGCTTCTCTGCTGCAGGTGCGCAAAGTAGTAGAGAGTATCTCAGTGGTGAATGGTTTACACTTCCCACAGACACTTGTTACGCTGTTTATCTCCTCCAGCGTCTTGCCTCCTTTCCCAACAGAAGCACAGAAACATCTTAATTCTTACCTGTCTAGAATGTCATTAAAAAGATCACTGGGAAGGCAATTCTGAAACAGTCCATTATGCAGTCATCTTACTAGTGAGAAGTCACAAATATAAGGGGAAAGGAGGACAGAAAAGAGAAGCAGTTTTTTTCATAACTCTGAAACTGTCAGGACTTAGGAGGCTGTGCACTGGTTCTCTTCACCACTACCACTTTGGGGGTAAAAAAAAAAACAAACAAACAAAAAAAAAAAACACCTTAATGAAAGCCATAGTTACTTTAAAAAAAAAACAAGAACACACGATCTCATTGTATGACAGTTCCCAAATAAAGGTCATCTTTTTGATCATTTGCTTTCATAATCACTTGATGTCACAGTGGTTTTGAGGGAGAAGTACCTGAAAAACACAGCCATGGAGAAATGGATGGGCAGGGAGGAGGCCAGGCAGCTTGTTTTCAGTAGGTGTGACAAGTGCCCTTTGCTGTTTCTGTTAACTCCTCTTACACCCACAGCCATGGGTCCCTGCTCTCATCCCTGTTCGTAGCAATGCTGTGCCTCTCTGCTTGGCTGACTCTTCTCTGACTTCTGCAGCATCTCTGCCATCAGTTAATCTGAACTATTTATTACTCCTGCAAATCTTTTCTGTGCTTTTTTTCTCCGCTGTCAGCAGAACAAATACCCAGACAGCAGTCCTGGCATAGGCCAGCAGACAACAAGAAGCCCCGAGCAGTGACTGCACTGAGTGTTTTCTCCTGCGCAGCTTAAAATTGGGCAAGAATTGTACAGACCTTGATTTGTGGTCGTTGTGCTTACCGGATGGTATCCTTCAAGGGAAAATAAGTTCTATTGTGTAAGTTTTTTTGTTGCTAGTTAGAAAAAGGATATTTCATCATGCTGATTAATAGTTCCCTAAATTGTGACTGATGCTGTGAAAAGCTGTCAGCAAACAGTGCATGCAAACTCAAATGCAGTGCACTAGGAAGTCTCATTTTTCACTTGTATCTGAATTCTTTGTCATTGACTTTTCTTTTTAGTCCAAACTGCCAAATGTCTGAGCTTCCCCCTTATATCCTTCAGACTCTTTTGTTCTGGCGATCGAGTGTTTTGCTGTGTGTACAGCAAGTGAAAAATGAGCTGCTGGTGCCCTTGCATGGTGTGGCAAAGCTCCGGCTTTGAGAAGCAGAAGTCTGTAGAACCTCATCCCTTGCCAGGAATAAGTAATGGTGAATTGTTGCACCTGGAAAAACAAGAAGCATGTACTGCTTCAAACGAGCTGCACCATGTAAGTAAACCTGCTGACAAATTCCCATTATTTTTTCCAGCTGTTCATACTTCCAAGTATGAAGAAGTAAGCCCAAGTGCACCGAAAGAAAAGCTTTACATTCAGACCTTAGCACAGTAAATGTTTTGACTGAATTATTGCTGCAATCAAGTTGAACTCGTATACAGGCTATATAGATTTTAGTCTTGCGATGTAATGAGCAGAAGGTGCTTAAACCACTTCGTCTCAACTTGAATGTAAATCAGAGTGCATCCTGTACCTGTACGTGTGCATTTTCCCCCAGAAGTTGCTGTGTGTTAGGAATTAAACTCTCTTCATCTCATCTTCAACTTTCCCTTCCGCTCCTTATTAAAGTGAAAACAACTCCTACATCCATATTCTTTTCCACTTTCCTGACTTTGTGTTGAAGTGGCAGGCTAGGTGAGAGCAGAAATTGTCCCCTGGAGTAATGTTTATGTACAAAGTAATGTTTTGTTCAAACGACCTCCACCCTTTGTGCCTGAAATTTCCAGTACACATTTGAATCACTCAATTTAATCTTCAGAAAGGCACCAGACCGTGCCTGCAGAGCCCAGGAGCCCTGGTGTTATCTGGAGACTGCACAAGTGACAGCGTCTCCACCTGCAAGTAAGTGTTTGAGCTTATAATTCGTGGAACAGTGGTGCTGATATTGCAGTGTAACAACAACTACAATAAGTAGACACGAAAAGATGCTCAGCTAAACCCACTTACATAGCTAAGCCAAAGTCAGGAAATGCCACATTCAATTAATAGTTTAGTCTAAAAAGAAAAATAAGACAGTCTCTTTTAAAGTGTACAAATTCAACAATTTAAGTTTGGGAATTGTTATTGTAACTTCCCAAAAGTGCATCTTATAGTATTAATTCTTAATATGTGACAAAGGACCATTTAAGTAGTAAAATAAACGCAGCGCTAAGTGCCAATAATAAATAAGCATCACTGGCACAGCACAGGAGCTTGGCAGCCATCTCTCCCTTAGCAATACTTTTTATTGCTCTGAACATTCTCTGGGCCGTAGGGGACTGAATTAAATTCATTATGAACTTCACTGGGAAGGATTTTAAATGCATGCAGACGTCTGGTAGGGTAAAGAGGGCTTCCTTCCACTCCCTCCCTCATTGCACTTCTTCTTCTATTGGACTGATATATTTTTCTGTCTTTTTTGCACCTCAGTGCTTAAATCTGTGTAACAGAGGCTTATAGTCCTACATTTTCCCTCTACCCCAGCCCCTGCCAGCCTGCCCACAGACCTTGAAGTTGTCTAAAGATACTGTCACTAGAAAACGCCAGGAGCATCCTTCATCTGGCTGCCATGGACCATTAACCGAGGCTGACGGGGTCACCCCTGCTTGCTCCCATCTGCCCACGAGGCCCAGCCCTGCCCGCCCACTACTGCTCCACACACACTGCTTGGGTTCAAGCAGAGTTAAGCCTCAAACTTTGGTTTTCTGTAATTTAATCAATAGTGCAAAGGAGGGTTTTCAACATCTGCTTGTAAGCTGACATTTAAATGGCAATTGCCTGTGGAATGCAGGCATATGGTTACTGAGTTATGACTCAAGTGCAGGCAGCCAGGCACTTGGTTCACAGGGAGTTGTTTCAGCACTTGTGACACACTCACACACTTGACCCCTTTATACTCAAAGGCACAGCAGAGCATGAACACCCCACACCTTCGTCACAGCATCTTCCCATCACAGGTAGCAGCTTCCAAGAGACGAGAATATGAGCCCATCCCTCACTAGTAAGTTCACCATTGCCATGCAGTGCTAAGCACGGAGAAAGCTCTTGTCCCTATGGGATTCTGCTAACTGCAGCTCTGAAAACCCAACCACTCACTTCTGTGCTTGGGGTGGTTGGCAGCTCAGTCACCACCAAACTCACCAAACTCCAGACAAGAAAAAACAGAGACTGAATTGCTAATTGAGAATGTTACTTTTGGGAGGTGGGTTTGGAGCATGTATTTATGTATGTTCATTATTTTAACCAGGACTTGGGAATCTTACTTTTCACTGTAAGCATGGACAAAATCCATTCCTCTGCTGTGGCTCCAGCCTGCCCTAAAAAAGTGCCTAGCCCCAAACTGCACCACACAGCAGTCGCTGAGATGCACCTCAGTGCAGCTCCATGCAGCACTGCCTCCCAGCTGCCTGCAGTTGGCTGCATGTGACATGCCAGCCACCATATGCTACCGTGTCTACTGACGATTGCCACTTAAATGTCAGCATCCAAACAGCTGTTACTGAAGTTGCCGCAGCTCTGCCTCATCCCTGAGCAAGGAAAGCAAGGCAGCTGCCCATGTGGCAGCAGGGGCTGCCCCATCAAGGTGCTGTCTGAATATAGCACTGGTATTAATGAAAGCACCCAAATACCATTTCAGCCACACTCGGACACAGTGCCCCACGTATGAGGCAAGTTCAATCTGGGGGCCTGGCCCACTCACTAGTGCCCCATTCACACTCTAATATCAACCTTCTGTAGGCAGCGATTCCCTGCAGCTCTCAAGCTGTCAGCCTGTTCCCCTGGCTCCACACTCCCTCTCAGGATCTGTGAGCGGATCTGGCTCAATTTCAGTGGCACCGAGCAGGCAGGCTATAAAACAAAGGTGGCTCTGGTGCCCTTTCTGTCAGTGACAGGTCACATCACCCAGAAATCAATTGCTCAGCCCTGCGCCCAGTGCCACAACCATCAATAAGGGATTTGCTTGAGTGGGGTCTGTGCTGCATTCCATGTGCGGGATAAAGCATCTGATGAAGATTAAAAGAGGAAAGGAACATTAATATAAACCTCCCTCACTCATGCACATGCAAGTTTCCTTGCTGAAGGACAAACATCGCAGTAAAAGTAAGCACATATTGATGGATGTTGAGGTGAATATAAAAATGTATTAACCTGAGAGATAAATATTGACACTGCTTTGTCTGTGTCAATATTTAGTTCAAGGGACAATAAATTT